TTACTTTAAACGATAATTTAGTTTTCAAGTTATTTTTAGAATTTTCTTTCCAATTTTCAGAATCTGGTGGTCAGCAGTATTTCTCTTATCGATAATAAATTATTGTTATTACTTATTTGTACTGCAAACATCTTCTTCTATCTAATACTATAAAATGATAAAAGCTTATTGCCTTTCTAATAAATAAAAAATATTAATATACACAAAATTATGTTACCTAGAAAAAGTACAGAAATGTTTGTGTTATTATAGTATTGGATTATTTTTATTTTATACTAATATTTACGTATAAACAAAAAATTTCAAAATGTTTTTAACTTATTGATTTTTTTTTTAAATCAACTGAGAATAGCTAAGTTATTTCAACTGTAAATTAAACTAGTTAGGTTCATAAGTTAATTAGAAAACAAACTAACTAGTTAATGCCCACCTTTGCATAATATTATTATATCTAATTGAAATATTTAAAAATAAAGCAGCTTCATTGGCCAGTGATACTAAAATTAATAGAAATTAATTTACCTAGGCTTATAAAGATTTACAAATTTAAATCATGCAGTTTTAAAGAATCTCCATTAAATTATAGTCACTAGGTAGGTACCTACTACATATTACCATTACACGTAGGTACCAAAAAGTACTAACAGCATTATATTATTATATTTGAAACTAAATTTTCGAGCTTTAAAATATTAAGGTAGTAATAATTGTACACCTGTAAAGTCAACAAGGTTACTCAATATTTTATTTGCTATTATTTAGAAAATAAAAGTTATCATGACATTCTAAACAACGAAAACCCATAACTTTCTGAAATAGGTAGTTAAAATTCAGAATAAATCATTATTGATTTGGCGTAAATTTTACCTACCATCTAAAATACCAAGTATTTTTTCGTTTTTTGAAATATTCTCAAAACTATAAATAACAGAGTTCTGCAATAGTAATGTATTCTATAAAGTTCAAATTACAAAATAATCTAATAAGCAATTAAAACATTTAAAACAATTAAAATAGTAATTGTAGGAAACGTGGTTTTGTTGCCGGAAATCAAATCCTGGTCTCCCACGTGTTATTTATAGGTGGTACCTAAGTGGTTTTTCACGATATTCAGGAAGATTACTGAGAACTTCCAAAAATAAACCGTCTAATTTATCACTACGATTGAATTTCTAACCCAAATAACATACTTTTGGAACAAACCAGAAAAGTGTTTACGAACAAAACAAAATACGTCATTGTGTATTGTATAAACATGAACCAAAATTAAAAATGCAAATACGTTTTAAATAAATAATGTGTGTACCGAATAATAATGTTAATAGATACGTATGAATTGTACATTTAACACTATTATTAATGATTATAATAGATAATATATGCATATTGCAACTAGGTATGTTTTGACTCATATTTCATCTTTTTCATTGTTTTCTCCTTTTGTATTTTGGATTCAGTGTAGCGGACTTAACGGTATCATGTCTGTGGTTTATTTGCTCCAATTTATCGATCATACTATGTACATATTAAAATAATAAGAATAATGATGATGTTTCAATGTCTATCACTACAACTAGTCACTAGTCACATTAGTGTGATTTGGTGTTTGATTTACTGTTCAGTTAAACATTTTTTCGAAAAGAAAAATATAATTGCCCATCACAGCCCAAAATAATAAAAATTGAATACTTTGTAATAGTCAATAGTCGTCATAATATATTGCTCATAAGCGCGAAATATTATCTAAACATTTCCTATTAGTCTAGACAAAAATATCCATATGTGCATAACAAATAACAATAATTAACAATAAAGTCGTAAGACTTGCAAATAAATTTAGAATATTAATACTATAATATTTTAAATATTATTTTATTCAAATCAGGGTTATTATTAATTGAGCTCTTATTCAACAAGGTATTATAATTAATTCAAAATTTGAAGCTCACAGCTTTTAAAGGGTTTATTTTAGACATTTGTTTTTCGAAGTAAGTACATAGGTATTCCATGTTAATATACTATACGTGTTTACAATATTACATTATCTAAACAATATACTATAAAATGTATAATATTCTACTGCATAATTTGATTATTTTTATTTTTTAGATATAAATACACAATACTTTTGAAAATTGAATATAACGAGCTTAGAATTTTAAGCTGTACGCTAGTTATCAATTTAAGTTCTATGAGTTTTAAATAACATTTAAGTTTTGATCAAACCAGAAATTAAAATTCTATTTTCCGCCTATATATATTATTGTCGAGCCGTACAAAAGAGCAAATTAACTTTTATCTAATAATTATTCAATTTCCCTAACCTAACCTAGATATCACGATAATGATGAACTATCACCGACCTTAAGGTATAACCAATTAGGCTGTATAGTTTTATTAGTTTACTTTACACGTATAAGTGAATAACTTTGTTTCAATGAGTAAGTAAGTTGATAAGTAACTAATAACCTTTATTCTGACAATTATTGATATGTGAACATTTTTATTACACTTATAAGTTATAGCATATTATATATTATTTTCGTTATAAGTGAATTTGATCCATGTAGGTGATATTACATATTTTCTGCACGTGTTGAAAGCGTGTTACCACTAAATCGCTTGAACCTGATTAATTCACAAAATATGTTTTTATAATGATACAAACACAGCTATACATCATTTATCATTTTACGAATCTTATTAATCTTATTTATATATTATATGTTGTTTATGGTACCATTTGGCTTTTATGACACGTTTGTAAAGATTAATAATTAGATACAGAAGCTATTTTTTCGTATCACAAAAAATAGTTATATTTTGTGATGTTGTGAAAATCTCCATAGACCAGTATACAACAAGTTAAAATTTTCAATAAATTACAAATTTATTATCTTCATAGTATATTCTACATATTAATTTATTACATACATAACTACATATTGTAGTTGGGTTTAAGTGTCAAAATATAAATTTGTAAATCGTATTTTGTGTAACTATCTATATCAACATTATTTTAAACACAATGTCAATACATTATATGAAGAAGCTTATACAATTCAATAAGAATATTTATATTATTTAATTCATAAGTTATACAAGTACCTATGTGAACTATGCAGTACATATTATAATAATAAGTTCAAGTTCAAACACAAAAATAGTTTAGCATAAACGGTATACTAATTGAATCGTCTTAGAATGCTAAACTGTTCGTTATTCTTACAATTTCTTCGTTTAAATGATCCATAAAGTAATTATAGTTGACAGCGAATATTTTTAAGGTTTGAGTTTAAGTAAGTTTGAACAACTTTTGGTTTTTAAATACTTTAGCTTATCCCTCGACATTGAACAGTTATTTTTGTAGTTGATACCATTCCAAAAGTCACCGTCTGATTTGCCAAATCTGCTATTAGGAAAATGAGATATCGACAGTGGTGTCGAATCAACCAAGTGCGTTCTTTGAAATTTTGCAAAAAAACCACTCGAAGACCCAATTTATTATGTAATTCAGTTATTAATGTACCTGTTACGTAAATTTATAAATTAAGTACCTATACACGTTCGACAAACGATCGGCAGTTGAGAATATTAAATACATTATGTTATTATAATAATATGAGTCAAGGGATTTATTTAAGAACGACCGGTCAGAAGCCAAAGCGGTCTTGGAGAGTGAAAAATCTACCTACATAGACCATATATGGTGCGGATGGATTTGTCCGGTAACCAAACGACGACTATTTTAGGATTAGTGTACCAGCCACCAGGCGCAACCAGTTAATATGACATTATTATTGCATTTAATTTGATTTTTAACCTTCGCCCGTTTATAATAAGTAATAACTATACTATTCACTATATTCAATTTATATACAATATGTATTAATATTTAAAGATATTAATATAAATATTTAATATATTGAAGAATAATTTGAACATAAAAAAACAAATAAATGTTTGTAGATTATTATTATTTTATTTGAGTCAAAAATATAGAGAACTACTTGCGATATATTATTTACAATTTTCATATTAGGTACTTACATTTTTTATGGTAGGTATACATATATATTATATTTTACATTTTATTGTTTTATATTAAATTATTGCACAACTATCTTAGTATTAAAATACTATCATGTTATACATAGTTATACCTTACAATATATGGGTACATATAGGTATATGAGGTTATAGCACATATGGCAAAATATTATGGAAGCCGGAAGGTGTGAAACATTTTAATACAGAACTTGTTGTTAGTTGACTATGCATATCTCTAAAGTTAAGATTAAAATCTAAATTATTTTCAAAACTATTTAAAACGCAACACATAGGTATGTTATACTTGCAAGGTCAGTCAAGAAAAACATTTCCTCTTATCATTCAAAAATACTTGATAGAGAATGAATATAAATGTATATATAATATTATATTATATAAGATTAATTAATATACGTTGGAATTTATAGTATCTGGTTATTCTTGTTAATGGTTCATACATATTTAATAATAAAATAACGTTACATTTACCAGAATACCTATATCTGGCTATACCACAGGTACTAAAGGTATAGGTAGGTAGATGCTTATAGGTAGGTAGGTATTACATATTATAATAATATGGTGTAGGTAGAGTTATTAATTGTTGCGAACTCGCATAACTATTGGGTACATAAGTATATTATTGTAACTATACAATGTTATTTAATTTTACCAATGAAAAAAAAATAATTTAATACAATTTAATAATATTATTGTATTTATTAACGTGATTATGATAGCATAGTAACTACTCTGATTTTGATATTAAACTTCGTAAACCAAAAATCAGTCTCACAATACTATAGTCTATACATATACGAATTATTTTGTATAGAAAAATACGGATTTAAGTTGTAATACATTTATTAACTTCCGGGAAAAATTAGGATTAAAACAATTTTTGGATTGGATCTAAAAATAATTATACTATTATACTCGTAATTATAAAATTGGTGTCTCGTGATGTCTTTATTGATAATATATAATTTTTATTAAATTTAATTCTTTAATGGATTGTTAAATTTTTATAGCTCAATAATAAAAAGAAATAAAAATAGATGACCCTATACTGCATGGATATAAAAAATGAATAAATAAATAACAAACAAACAAACAAAAAATAAATACAAATTACTTATAGATACCAATAATAGATACAAGTGTTTGAAATATATTATTTACTATAGTTTAGTCATAAAAGAGATAATCTGGAATCTGGATAACATTATTATGCTTACTCGAAGTCAATAGATATACTTATATATTATATTATGTAACTATAATACATTATTTCGTGAACAACCTATAAACACAAATACTTTTACAATATAACTAATAAGTATTCTATTGTTCCTATATAAATATAATTTGTATCCCAAAACAAAAACAATTTATTTTAATCCAAATTTAAAGTCTTAAACGAACCTTCGACGCCAAAATAGTCACTTTCCGTTTTTGGTTTACCCGGACGTTTTTGTTCATCTACTCTGTAATTTTCTTCTTCTAAGAACCATTCTCTCATTTCTTTGACTTTGTCAAATGTATCATCTAATTTCATACAAAAGACAATTTAGTATAGGTTTAGAGCTGTTGGTATTATTGTTTAAAACGTTTTGAATTTTTATGTATCAATACATTATTGACCCACCGTGTAAATTTTGTAGGGTTTGTCCACTTCCTCCGATCTCAATTGGCATTATTTCTTTAGGTATATAATCAAATATAGTTTCGGAATCTGCAGCCGAGTGATAGTACAACTATAAAGTAAAACATAATATTATATTAATGCATTGGAAAATATATTTTTAATATTATAATATTAAATAATGTAAGCAATGAAATATTATGTAATAAAAAAAATTTTAATTACTTTCTCTGATAATTCTTTTTTCATAAAAGGTTTTGTCATACTAGTTATCATGTCAATAAACGGAACTGTGTTTATTGTATGAATAGCTTTAAGACGAGCCGGTAACCCATCCTAAAATTATTATTAATTATAAGTAGCGAATTTAAATTCCAAAACAATTCTTCTAATATAAATATAGTCATACTTGCAAGAAATACACGTATTTTTTCATCATATTGATACCAAGACGACCGATGTGACTAAGACTAATACCTTTCATGTCATAAATAATTATAAGTCCGTTGAAAGTTCCTGAAGTCATTAGCAACATATCGATCACCATGCTGAGTGCTTTAATGAAATCAGATAAGACAAACAATTCTGCCTCTTCGCGTTTTGCGTATATAAATATAACTTTGCAACCATCTGGAGTTGATCCCGGCAATGCACAAAATGATCTAAGGAGTAATGTACTTCTGAGTAAACAATCATTTTAAGTTATATTATAAATATGTTTTTGTTTTACATAGTTTTAAATGCTTCCAACACAGATTTTACATCGGTATCACGTTTTGTGAATAATTCGGGCGAATGAGTGCGAAGAGTGAAATATGACTCTATGGTTACTTTCGTCGGTTCCAATCGATAAAAACAACTATGTAAGAATAGCACGAGGAGTTCGTCTGCAAATATTTTAATTATCTTACTGTTACGTCAACATGAATAAAAATTAAAATTAAAACAATAAATTATACGAAGCTGGAAAAATATCATTTAATACGTGTAGATCATAATATAATATTATCATAGGATATAATACATGCAATATTGCAATTACTTTGCTAAGTCTTTTAAAATGTAGGTAAATAAAAGTGGGTCGGATACAGACTACAACAATGTACCTAAAGTGTTAGCACCACATTTGCCTCGCAGCGCTCATCTCAGCACCACAAGATAATTGTTGTGATATAATTATTGTAAATTTAAAAGCTACAATAAGTGCTCATAAAACCGTTTTTAGATGTTTCAAATTTTAAGTAGGAAATGAGTTTCACTCTTTAAAGCAATTTTCTTTTTACCTATACTTATAATATAGAGGACAAAATCACCTTTCATCAAATTAAATGAAGAATTATACAGATGTGTGTAATTTTTGAAGCACTAAAACTTTTATACAATAATATGTGATATTAAAGTAATAATAGTGACATAGTGACACACTGACATATTATAGTGGCATACTATCAAAACATAAATAAATTAAAGCACACGTCAGAGAAGATGTAAAACACGGGTAACAAAGAAATTCTTAAATTCATATGGGTAGGTACATACGGAATATGTAACCATTTAAATTTAATGAAAGTCTCATATAAATATCTTCAAATTTTCTAAATTGCTTAGGCTTTGTTCAAATTTCAAAGTTAAATCATGCCAGCCATCGATTGAATTTGAGTTAATCATAATTCAATATATTATTGTAGAGATGAATGATGATAGATGAGTGATGAGTGATGACTATTGAACATTTTTATCATCAATGAATACTTTTGTCACTTAGGTTAATCAATTTCGAAAGCAATGCGAAAACAAACCCCACCCAGTCCCACATTTGAAACAGGAAAAAAAATTAAAACATATAGACATATCACAAAATATCATTAATCATTTTGACATATAATTGTTGAGTCCAAGAAAAATATCAAATACCTAACTATTAGTTATTATTTGTATTATAGTATTAAAAATTATACTTCATGACCTAAATTGGAAACATTTTTCATGACACCTATATAAATACATACCTATCATATTATTATATTATATAGGTATTACGCAATACAAGACAAATAAATATATTAAGATGTATCATATTATAATTTATAGTGTCATAGGTATTTCTATGATACTATAAATAGATGCTTACCCGTTACTATTGGTAAGTGTGGTTGTTTGGATATCCATTCTCTGAGATGATTTAAATCTTCTTCATTTAGTTCTGGATTTTTTTTAAATTCATCTGGAATGTTAAAAAAGTTCATGTTTAACAGGATTGCACTATCAAAAGTTGTAAATAAGTACACAACACTACAATAGAACTAAATTATTTTTCAATTACTTTTTTGTTATATACTAATACGGTGGACAGTAATTACAGACAACAAAATATATTATTTACAATTGAATAGACGGGAAAAGCCTTGAAAGTTCCGTTGCTTGTGACATATACTATTATTATACATACAGGGAAATCATCACTAGTCACACTTTTATAAAAAAAATAGCTACATAATATTTATATATACCGTGATTCAACATGCATATTTTTGTCATCAATGATAGTTATTCAAAATAAGATTTTTGAAATTTGTAAATAAACTTTGGACAATATTTTCAAATACTTGAGTTTTTTTTTTTACTCGGGTTGTCATGTAGAGATACAAAAGTCTGTTTTTCAAATAATAATCCCCTTTACTATATATTATTTGGTGGATAGTTTTTTTGAAAATGTTGTTGAAAACAACTGTTAAGTTGTTTGACTTTGTGTTCTAAGAATAATATAGTCACATGAATACGTGATAAGTTGTACTGATAACAGATTTAGAAGATACAATGGAGGCTATTGCACAATAGGAATTGAACATTTTTAGTAATTAATATTATTCTGCTCAAGTATAATAAATACCAGATCCAATATTACATATATTTTAAATTTTCGTAATACCATTTACATACCTTAATATAATTATTTAAATCTTTAGAAGTCATAAGCATTTCAATAACTAAGAAACTACTTATTGTAATACAATTTTGAATTAGCTATATAGGTACCTCAAAACATTTTCAAAAAAATATCCACTCAATAATTTACAGTAAAAGGGAAGGGGGTTCTTATTTGAAAAGCAGAAGATTGTATCGCCACAGGACTCTTTTAGTAGTACAATTTTTTTTCTAACTAAATCTTGTATAAACTATCTCACCTTAAAAAATCCAATTATTTTACCACAAAATATGAAAGGATAGAATTAGAAATTAGAAATTTTAATAGGTATCAGTATGCGTTGTTATATATAATACACTTAACAATTCGCTACTACCCTATAGAGTTTTGAGTGATGACTGATGATTTATCAGAACAACCTTTAAATAATTATATGTCATTATTGATGATTTTACTCTTCTATAACTGTACAAGGACACGAAGCACAAACTATATGTTTAAATAATATAATAATTATAAAGGTAATTATTGTTTGTCACAAATTTTAATTTTTAAAAACTTAAGTTTATGTTATGTTTAAAAACTGTTCACTCTAGATAATATTTATTATATAAAAAAAATTAAAAAATTCATTGATGATATTCTCACTGTGTATATCTATATCAATACAAACTAGATAAGTTCTGTTTATTGAGTCTCTAAGTTGATGCTCTGATCTGAGAGCTCGCCTTGGTCTAATAATTTAATTTGCCAATCAATCATCATATTAATAAAAATATAGGAATTTGAAAATAAAAAATAAAAAAGAATATTATTAAATTAAATATATAAATGTATTATTTTTTATTTTAATTAATTTTATATAAAATATTACATAGGTATAATATAATTAAATACTAATTATACTATGGGTACATTTTATAATTGGATGAGCTCACGAAGAAAAATTTGATTTTTCATCTGTAATCATTTACATTAGTCCAACCCTGTATTCATTGATGTAAGATAGCCACATAGGTATAATATAACATCTGAAATAGATAATAATATATACGTTATTTAATTTGTATAATAACAAACACGACCTTGCATGTGAGGAAATTATGATTACTATTCACCACTAATTTTACACTGCACATTAATACATATTTTGTAATGTTTATATGTATCATGTAGATAGTATTGTAGTAGGTGCATACTAAAAATTACAATAAATAGTTGAACAATAGTGCAGGACATTTAGGTACCTACTTGGTATTCACTTTTTACTATGTCACAGTAATGATTACTGACTAGACTTCGTAGTAATAATTATTAATATTACAAATATTTAACTTAAGCAAAATATCATTCTGGTAATATTTTTATTTAAATTGATAATAGTTTTTACAACAATCTACACAAAAATTGTAAATAATAATAAAATAATTAAACAATCAGTTAATAAATTCTTGTTATGAGAAATGTTATCGTCAAATGGTATAATTACGCAATCTTTAAGGTTTTTGCTAACTGAACAAAGTGTTATGTGTACAACTTTAAAAAAATATCAAATTTCGAAATTTCAATTTTTGTACTTAAATTATTATTTTTTTTTTATCTTAACATAATATAATAAAGAACTATCATTTAAATTGTACACACAAATTCTATTTATTTGATATAATTGTCGAACTATAATAGTATATGCCGATGGTTCAAAAATAAAAAAATAAAAAAAAATAATAATAATATAATAATTTTTGAATAGAAGTAACTTTGTATTAACACATTTCCATTTAAAATAATACTTAATTGTAAGCTAAAATATGTATCCAATATATTTTTATATAAATCAAATGAAATGTTTAAATGGATAATAAATGGATACAAAAGAAAATAGTTTAAATAACATAATATTTAATCTATGAAACCACTAAAATTATATACTAACTGATTATAGAGGTATAATATTAAATATAAGCTTATACAAGTATATTACAATTTATAATACATCTCGTTGATAAAGTAGTACTTCAAACAAGGATACCGGGAGTCAGGAGAAGTTTAGTGTTAATTATAATTAACATAAAAACAATAATATAATACCTAGGTTATTTAACCAAGTTAATTCTACAATAATAAATTAAACGTTTAATTACATAATATATCATAAGTCCTTCATTCTTTTTAGTTTTTACCATATTTATATGACACTACCAAGCTTGTTCCAAGTTCCCAAGTTAACTCATAATATGATGTCAAGTTTTACATTTCAAATACATAGACACGAATTCAAATTTATTGAAACACAATAAATAAATAAATACTAATGTATATTGGATACCAACCGTTTATAAGGGGTTCAGTTAGGCAATACTTTTAACTTTTTTTGTGGTGTGAATGAGTGCGCATAGTAAGTTATCATAGGGAGCAGATTTTTACAAAAACAAGTTAAACGAAAAAAATGTTTTACTTACATTAGTTCTATAAAAAAATAAAGGTTGGTAATGAATAATTGTATACAAGAACCAAAATAACGAGAACAACAGTAGGCTGTAACCGCTTATATTATTATAATATTATTAACGAGTCTGTATTTCGGTGTAAAAAATAGTAAATTATCTTATTTTATTTTCTACTACTTGATTGAATACATTTTACATTTTTCACATAATAATGGTTATTGCATTTAAAATGTGTTTTAAAATATTGAATATTATATAACAATAAGAAATAATCGTAATTTGTACACTAATTATTGAAAGTCTTATGATTATGATACCGACCGTTTTTAAGGAGTTCAGTATAGGCAATTACCTATGCTTGTTCGTGTGGTTCTTGTAAATGTGTTGGTAGTAAATGCTAATTAGTGTGAGTAAAATTATAGTATAATATTATATAATATATTATTATTATTATATCATATTATTTATATGTTATGTATAATATATAATATTAGTATGTAAAAGAAAATATTATAGCAGAGCTTTTCCGTACGTGCACGTAGATACATGTCAAAAACGCACTATCTACCTTATCATTTATTATTACTTTTTTTGATCAAAAGTATTAATATAATGCCAATTGCATTAGCTACCCTTAAATCCTTTATCCCCCTTAAAATTTGAAAATGGACAGAAATCGCTTCAGTCCACCATGGGGACCTATGGGGATGGGACTCCATAAGGAGGGCTGTATGTTCTCTATAGTGCGCATACCCTTCTACTACCATATCGATGGACACCGGTACTCAAACAGCAGACCCAAGTTCCTCAACCATTGTTCGCTATTGTCGTGTATTGTTGCTCGTTATGTGATCGTCGGGTTTTTTTAAAGGAGCCGTACGGTGCAGTGGTCGTTGACAAGTGGCTATAATGGCTACAATGCTATTATCGATGAATAAACATAAAACGTGATGATTACATCTCGCAGCTATTATACGTTCTATAATTATATTACTAATATGTATTTTTAAGTTGTACGTCGGTCATCGTTATATTAAAGAGAACAAATTCGTGATAATTTATAACTGATTTTAATATTTATAAATATCTATAGAAATTATTAGCAAATAAATTATAAATCATTGCAGAAGTTGCAATATAAATAAAAGATATTAAAATTAATTAAATTAATTAATAAAATCACAATATAATGAATGCTCAGAATAAAAAAAAACACAGTGTCTGCTTATAGAAATACTTCTGAATTACTGATCCCTAATATTGCATCAAAATAAACCATAACAGGCAATAATATTGACCTATATGTCTACATGTCATGCATCAAATCAAAATTAAAAATAATATATTTGAATTCAGTGAAAAATTATTTATTTTTATTTTATTAGCTAATAGATTGGCCATAACAGCAACGTTGCCATAACCGATTGCCTCTGAGATCTTTTTTATGGTATAGTCATAGTGGAATTTGCTTAATCCAGTAGTGTTTAGAGCACTGAGTTTTGAGCACGACGGTTGTCCCAGAATGAATACACTAAGAAAAAAAAAACTAAAAGGTATGTCATTTGACAAATCGGTCACTGCTATTGCTGACGATCGCAACCTTTCGGAAGTGATCAATACCTACCTCGTTTCAGAAAGTCGCTATTCGGTTAGACTTTGACTGATCAACGCCACAGGTGGTTAACTATGACATCCGTAAACAAGTGCAGATAGTGTTTGTATTTTGATATTCAGTTTTCTGTGAAACGCATTGGTCGTATCAGCTTAAAACAGAGGAGTACCGAAAGGCAAGAAGATGTCATGAAACAATATTTTGGCTACCGGACACTGAGTATCGTCGTTATCGAAATTATCACCTATCTGAGAACATCGGTTTTGACCTTATACCGCGGTTGGTCGTCGACTTAGAGAAACGAAAACGGGCCTACTCGCGGCCGGTCGCCTGTGTCGACTGGCATACGTTTACGAGTCGGTACGGCAAATGCTTTATTAAAGCTCTAATAGGAAATCTAGAAGAAAATCATTCCAGTCAAAGTTTATGTGATTTTTTTATCATTGCTATTATTTATATACTTAATTATTGTTGTATTATTAACCATTATATGATGGAATCTGAAGACTCGTCGGCATCCACGGTCTCCTCTACCGCATGTTCGCCGGGTTCCTCACCTGCTTGTTCACCGGGCTCCTCAACTGCTGGTTCGCCGATCGCCTCACCACAATGTTCACCGGTCTCTTCAATAGCTTCTTCACCCACATCGTCACCGACCGTATTGACCAAATCGCCGATTAAGAAGGCTCTAGCTGTCAAGAGGCAAACACTGGTCCATCCGTCGACTGCCGTCATGGTGACTACGGCCATTAAGTCGTTAAAGGACAAGAAGGGGACCACGCTGCCCGCGATCAAGAAATATATGGCAATTCATTATCAAGTGGATTTATCGAAATTTGCTCCATACATACGCAGGTATCTGAAGTCAGCAGTCGCCAAGGGCGGATTGATTCAGACGAACGGTACCGGTGCCAATGGCAACTTCAAACTCCCGGCAGCTGAGAAAAAACCCGTTAAGAAAACAGGTGTTCCCGCGGCAAACAAGAAGAAACCGGGAACAAAAAACCCTACCTCTAAAGCACCCACTACGACGTCCACCAAGCGGAAGTCTATCGAAGCCGGGACGACGGCCACCACCAAGGTATCCAAAGCTAAGAAACCCAAGAAGGCTCTAACGGCTGTTGTTAAACCGAAAATTAAGAAGATTGTTGAAGTAGTAACCATGGCTACACCGGCCAAGACAAAGAAGGCAGCTGGGGACGGGGACAGTAAAACCAAAAAAGCAGCTGCAGCCAGTAAAACAACAAAAGTTACTGCTGCCAGCAAAACAACAAAAGCTGCTACAGTCGGCAAAACAACAAAAGCAACTGCAGTCAGCCAAACAAAGAATTCAAAAGTTGTCGCCAAAAAAGCAGCGCCCAAGAAAAAATAAAATAAATTATTGTGTGTAATATTGTTGTAATTAATTATGTAAGATTTATTGTGTTATTTTAAAAAGGTTCTTATCAGAACCAACAAGTTCAATAGATATGGATAGGTACAAACTTTTTTATTTTTCTAAAAAGTACCCACTGCACAACATTGGTATGGTAAAAAATAATAAATGGATAGGTAAGGGCGGTGTTATAATTTTAAACCATGAGTATATAACTTTTTATTATTTTATATAGTTTTCAGCGTGTTACTTATTAGCATAAAGATTTTCAATTTGTAACACATGAAGAGAAACTGCTAACATTTACTTACTTATTTCTCAAATAATTGTATTCCAAACCAATCATGCTGTCCTAATTGAGTAAGGGACGTCCTAACTCCTGCATTACAATACAACTACATTAATGCGATATTAATGTACTAATTAAATATGTTTGTTTTTAACAAATAATAACTCAGGTACCTATATTATATTATGGTATTATAATTCTATAAAGTATGAAGTAATAGTATAGTATATGAAAATGAAAAGTGAATAAAATTAAAACTGTGGATTTGTATAACTTAAGAAATCGTGAAACCCTAATACCAGCCAAAATAAGTGGTAGAAGAGACGTTTAAAACATACAATTTCAACTATCGGCCGTTCACAAATTGCCTCCAGTAAATTCGTATTTGAAAAAGGTACTTGAACTGCTTCCAGACTCAAAAATATTATTCACTAGAGTTCCCTTATATTTTAAGTAGTGAGTTGTACATGACTTGTATATAAATCTCTTAATGTTGATGTCGAGTGTAGTTCAGGATAGTATGAGAATGTTTGACACCATTAGTTTTGTTGATTGTAGGACCGGAGTGTTTTCGCGGCTGTAATGCGAAAGCAGTTCCCGCGGCGGCGCCGTCGGTTCAAACAGAAAAAAAAAGGTTCGTAGTGTTTAGAGAAGTTTAGTTGATTGCTCAAAATAATGCAACGATGACAGTAGAAACAGTGTTGTTGATTGATTCATAAGTAATGAAAATAAAAGTTTTTTTACAAGTATATTTCATGTGACTGCCGAACAAAAATCATATATTTCAGTAGTGGTTGTTTGACAAACTGTGTCATGTTAATTCGTCATATTGTTTTTTTTCTGACAAATCATAATTCATAGAATTGGTACCCAGAACCTAACCCGGTAGAACTATCACCCAAGGCGGTGTGTTGTCCATATTCAAGTTGTTCTTTTACCCAAGAAATTCGAGAAGAAAGCCAATTTTCTTGCTAACCTTTGCTTTAGTTTGGGTCACTGTCACGAAAAGTTACATTATACTGTGCCAGTCGTTAGCTGTCAGTGGTCTCAGTTATTTTTTTTATATTATATCTTTTGTTGTTTGGTTGTCTGGATTGGGCTTTTCTTATTGAATAGAGGGTATTACATTCCCTGACCATGGTCGTGTTGATATGTTGTGTTACGCCAAGGCGTCTGTTTAGTGTTACACCGAGATACTTCACGTTATCCGACCATTCTATTGGGAAACCATTTATTTTAATTGTAGTAATATTTTTGGTATTTTTGTTTCCGAAGAGTAGTGCGATGGTTTACTGTTCGTTTATTTTTAGACAACATCGCTTGAACCACTCAGCGACCAGTCTACTTGTTTTTGAAAAGTGAATGCTGCGCATCTGGCGTTGTGGTTTTGGGCAGAAAACATTGTATCATCAGTAAATAATGCAAGTACGGCCTTAGGCATTACCGGTATGTCATTCTTGTATATGAAAAATAGGATGGGTGATATTCTTACTGGTCTATTTTCCAAATACAATATACTATTTTAAAACAGCCCCCTTCGGGGCCACCAAAATTTAAAAGACCACAATTCCACTGTTACGATAAAAAATTGAAAATTTGGGTAGATAGGGTAATCAATTTACTACCAGTAACTTAAAATGTATGATTATCGTGTATTTCTATTCGTAATTGTTTGTGATAGCAGCATCTACCATCTTATATCAATACAAAGTAATATTCGTCAAAACCTTTTTTTAAACGTTTACCTATGTAGTACGATTTAAACGACGAGTAGGAACTACAAAGCCATACTTATTGAAATATGGCACTACCCCAGCTATTATGTCACATTAGTTGATTTTACTCTGTATTAGAGTTTTAAACATGTAAATTATGACTATAAGCACTGTAAACATTAAGTTGTAATTAATTCGATTGATCCATTAGGCTTGTAAAACATTTTGGCTTTAATACTTTTATAACTTTCAAGAAGGTTTGGTGGAAAAAAACACTACTTCTCGGGAACCAAAGCTCAAAAAATATTCTACAAATATAAACGGTGTCCCAGTTAAGTGGTAGGACATGTGAAATACCTTGGCGTATGCAGGTCCGCCGGTCTTAAAACAATTCAAGAAACAGTTGTCAACCAGGCGTCCGTGGTGTTTCATAAGAAGTAAATCGCAATGTACTCGCACACAAGATCCTTCAGCCACAATTCCAGAGATATACGACGTACAATCCTAAAGTAACGTCTGCTACAATTGACATCAATAATTAACAAGTAACATACCAATCAGCGATCATGCGTCACCTCCAAAGCAAATCTCCCAGCATTACTATGTTATGACCGTTAATTAGTGATATCAATATTAATTTTTATATTATGCAATACAGTATGATTACGAACTGTTGTTTTTGACTTCCTTGTCACCTCACATAATGCCCTGTCTATGAAAAATGAAATATTTTAACATACCTATTTCAACATGTATCAGAATAGAAATCTTCGAACTCACTTGATTAACAATTTTAAAAGAAAATTGCGTACATGGACAATTTTGGAGGGATTGTTTATAAAGGCACTTACTGTTTTAAATTAAGAACTTATTTCTTACTATAAGATATAATTTGGAAGATGCAAATAAATTCAATTTTGTTATACTTTTAGAAATTTGTTTGAGGACTAAAATTGAATGATGATTTCATGTAAATTATTTATAATTACATAGGTACGAATAATTATTATTTAAGACACATTTTAAAACAAGTCACGTAAATAGTTAATTTAAAAAGAATTACTCGAATAATTGGTACCTTTGTTGTTACATTTGAATATTATTTATCAAACCTACTATAGCCGATAACTGGTTGTATAGTATTCTTTCTTGTCTCGTACTAACGAATAATAAATATTTCGTTTCCCTCTTTACCATAATATAAAATAAACACTATCTAAAATGTATAATACTACTTCGCCTATATTATGATTAAAATTATTTATGATTGATAATAATTTTTGACTAAATGTTTTTGTATGTAACTAACATTATAAATATGGTATATGGTATATGGTATTAACTTTATTAATACTATAATATGGACAATATTTATATATTTATTTAAATGTATCTTTAAATAAATAAAATTCATCAAAATCTTAAATTTTTGCAAATTATATACAATTTATAAAATGTTTAACTTTATAGCTAAGCATTCAAAATTCAAAACAAGGTTTTTCCTTAGTAGTTCCATCAAATTTTGAAGAAATTAAATACGTAACTACATAAAATAACAATATAAGTTTTTATGTTGTAATTTAAAAATATTATTCTTGGTACCTACTTGAAACCTTCAAAATATATTATTACCTCGTGGATTATTATATTTGATACATACAATGATATTTTTATATGAAATATCACCGGACAAAATTAATTTAACTTTACTACTTATCTACAACTTTAATATATACTTAGTAGTATAGGCTCTGACAAATTGTTAAGAATCAAATGTCATAGTACTCATTATTGTTTTGATTAACAACTAACTACTGATAGGTATACAATTTTGTCCATGACATAAAAAAATTGTATGTATTTTAATATTATTTTAAGCTATTTAGATGAGGTAGAATATCGTAATGTATCAAATACGAAACGGTTGATGATATAAGAAGGTACATTTATTCATAAAAAATTAACATTTGACCAAAACTCTTTAATAATGTGTTATAATAATTATTATTTATTCAAAATAATTAGGTTAAGTACGATTAAGATAATATTTATTGAAAAAGTCGGGCTGGTTAAAATAACAGAGGTAGTAACGTTGATGACGCCGCACCGTAGCAGTCCTAAAACCGTCATTTTTGAAAAGCCACTTTTCAACGGAAAATCGATCGATGGAAAATCTACAAATTATATGGTCTTTGGAAACTCGTGGAGAATACACCCAAAATATTTTTTTCAATGTTCGACTTGTTTCAGTCATATGACAGACCCTTGAACATGGTCTACGAAAATCCTGTTGGAAGGGCAGAACAAATGACCTGTGGTGGTTCTGTGGCACTGACTAGCGATACAATTATCATTGGAGATAGTTTAGAATTTAGTTGGCTTTCTAAAAAGTTTAAAATCAAGTTTTTACAATCATTCCCCGTTGAGATATTGTAAAAAATCATCGTACAACCACAGCCCGGAGAACGACACGAATGACATTAGTTTACTAGTCGGTACGGTGGAATGAATATAATACCACAGTTTTCTGCAATGGACATTCTGCAGTAAAAGTATTGCGTTAATTGTTTGGTAATTCATTCTCATCATGACAGACACAGTCTCAAATATCCCGGCTCCAGTCGTCGCATCACCGACCGCCAAGAAGGCCCCAGCCAAAAAGAAGTTGTCAGCGTCTAAAGCCAAGAAGACCGTTGCACTGCATCCGACTACAGCCGTTATGGTCACTGCGGCTATCCATGAGCTCAAAGAGAAGAAAGGTTCGTCGTTGCCAGCCATCAAAAAATACTTGGCTGCCAATTACAAAGTTGATCCCGCCAAGTTAGCGCCGTTCATTAGGAAATTTTTGAAGGCTGCTGTCGCCAGCGGTGCCGTCGTCCAGACAAAGGGTACCGGCGCTTCAGGGCACTTTAAATTACCAGTCACCGAGGCCAAACCTAAAAAACCCGTTGCAGCCAAAAAGAAGAAGTCAATCGTGAAAAAAGTGAAAGTTGCCGGTTCACCTAAGAAAAAGAAGCTCGCAGCTGGCAAAAAACCAGCGACTGGCGAACCAGCCGCCAAGAAAGTGAAAAAGGTCGCTGCATCCAAACCCAAGACGGCGCCGACAAAGGCTCCAGCCAAAGCAAAAAAGCCGGCGGTTACTAAACCCAAGACGAAAAAGACCCCAACCAAGAAAACCGCTGCTCCCAAAAAGAAGTAAACAAAAAAATCTCACTACTTTCCTCTTTAAAACGGTCCTTTTCAGGACCACCACTTTTATTAAAGCCTGCTTATTATTAAGATACCAACAGTTATCGTTTTACCCGCGGTAATATTTCGACATGGGTCTATATACACATATCCGCACCGTCCATTTGGGTTATGAAAAATCCAGGATCGTCATAATCTACCCTATAGTGCAACGCACCTCGGGTACAAAGTTGAACCTATATATTTTTCAAATTGTGTATACTGTATAGAATATAATAAGATTTGTTATTATAGTTGAATTTTAATAAATGATTTCATATTTTATACGATCAGAGTGATTAGGATTTCAAATATTTCACTGATTTGGAGTTTTTTCTCCGTTATGAATTTCGGATTTTGATTCGATACATCAAAATTCTCTGCTAAACAATTTAAAGTAAAAAGTGGAGTTCCCTTTTGAAAAATAAAAGTTTGTGTCCCACTGGACACTCTTAAGTTGAAAGTAATATTATTTTTATTTTTTGTTTTGTTCATTAGGTACCTATGATTTATTATTTTTTATTAGAATTTCTATTATTTTCAAGAAGAAAATAATTATTATAACTATTTTTATTATTATACAATATGAACTAGTCAAAAGTTCATTCTAATTTTTATTAATATTATCATAATGTAAATTAATTTTGTGTTTTATAATAAGTATAGTATAAAATATTTAATTTTATTATAATTTTGACTGCGTTAGAACCCCATGTCCTTCACAGAGGACAATTTTGGAAATAACTTAGACATTTTTTTATTTATATTTTATATCATATTTACTATATGTATGGTAAAAAAATTAATTCTGGGTCTGAAAGGGTTAAGTGGTACAAAAAAATGAAAATGGTCTTTGAGTATTCCAAAATTCAGATTTTGAAAAACTACATTATTAAAGAAAAGGGGGGTGAATATATTTGTTGAATCACCCATCACCCTGTCATTTATAACGGTGAATATTTAAAGGGTTATTGTAATGCAGGAACAGTAATCAAGTTACTTTAAGTTTAGTTAATCAAAAACAATTTTCAGTTTAAATTATTTCTGTATTCAGCCTCTTTTTTCAAACAACAGTGTGTAATAAAATTTTGATATATTTCTAACGAACGTGTCATTGATAAATTAATTTTGGTGGTCCTAAAAAGGACCTTTTTAGGGTTGCATTTACCGGGCATTTTCGATTCCTCTTACTCACTATTGCGCTGTAGTATTTTACTTATTTTTAGAAGGTTTCTTTTGTATAACAGTCGTCGTCTTCTTAACTTTTGGTGGCTTAGATGAGTTCACCTTTTTCGCCTTGATCAGCGATTTCTTCGGCTTGGCAGCAGCCGTTTTCGGTTTTTTGGCTGAAGGTACAGCCGCAGAGGTGGCTTTCACAGCTAACTTCCTCTTTTTTGGAACTCCGGCAGCCGACACTTTTGCGGGTTTCTTAGTTACGGTGGTGACTTTTGAAACAGGTTTCTTAGCAACGACAAGCTTTTTCTTCAATTCGATCGGGAGTTTGAAGTGACCCATGGCGCCGTTTCCGTTGGTTTGTACCAACGAACCCTTTAAGACGGCAGCCTTTAGGAACTTGCGAATGAACGGTGCGTGCTTGGCCGAGTCCACCTTGTAGTTGGTGGACATGTACTTCTTAACGGCCGACAGCGAAGACCCTTTTTTCTCTTTAAGCTCAGTGATGGCCGCGATCACCATCACAGCGGTAGACGGGTGTGCAGGTACGGTGGCCTTAGTGGAAGGAGCCTTTTTCTTCATTGCCGACTCGACGATTGGTGCAACTGCCGCGGCTTGAACTGTTGTCGTTAAAGCCATGATTGTTGTAGGTAGGTGAAAATGTTCGATGTCGAAAATGATTGGTAAATTGGATTGAATGAGAACACGATGGTATACATTATATAACAAAAACAGTATTATATATACACGGCGCCGTACCGACTATTAAACGTATTACAACTGAATTTGTTCACTTGGTTGTGACTGCCCTCAGTTTTATTGGTATTTTCCTATTGCGATATTGAATTTTTACGTTGAAACTTAACTTTTAGTACTCTTCACACTATTCTAAACGTTACAGTTTATTCGGTTTGGCTCCAGAACGTATTGTTGGCAAAATATAGGTGGTTCTTTCAACACACCTACTTGATTTATGGTACAAGAGAGTCGCTGGCTATTTTAAGGGGAAATCAGTTTTATAAACATAAAATCTATTGAGTTCATTAATCAATAAGAGTTTTTCGACCATCTGGTGAAATCCGTATCGAATTCGGTCCAAACCTAGTCAAACTGGGCTTATCCAAAATCGGGGTGTTTGTAGTCTTTTAACATTAATTATTATTCCTTTAATTTATCGACTGCAAAATATCAATAATCTGAAATTTACATTGTAGGTTCAACAAACAAAATTATAATTTATTGCTAGGTATGATATTATTATTATTAATATTTTAATTTTACAATCAATATATTTACAACGTTTTAATTGTCTTCCGGTTATATCATTAGATATTTTTATTGAAGGAAAATTTTGTTTTCACTGGTTGTGAAATTATCTTAACATTATATAATTATATACATTTAAAATGATTATAGCTCTTAATCTGAAATTCCCGAATTCGTTTCCTTATAAATAAAGTATTTTTAACAGTTTATTTAATATATTAACATTTTATGAGTTGGTTTTTTTTCATCAAATGTAAACGTTTTTAAATAATTATTTAAAGAACTATTAGTTGACGTATATTTGGATTAAAATTGGTTAAGCAAAACATATTAACAATTAATATGAGCACTATCATCTTAACAAAATATAATAATTAATGTTGGACTGTGATTTTAATAAATTAGATATAGTATAATTGATTACGTATTAATCTTGTTATGACTGAAATTAAATATTACCCATCTCAATTAAACGTATAATATGAATAAGTTTTGAACACAATATGACCTTTGATATTTTTGTTATCACAGAGCGATTGTCGTATTTCCTTATTATTTTTTTTTATTGACCGTACTCATTTAATTACAGACAAATTGTTTACCATTGATGCACTTTGTAAAGTAACATATTGTCGTCGCATGTCTGCATGTTCCATTTATTAACCGATACCCATTTTTTGAGCGTCAATCAGTCCATAATGTACAGAAGGTTTTTTTGATTTGTTGGTGGCCCTGAAAAGGGCCTTTTTAAAGATGATTTTTGTTGGTTCACATAATTGAGGTTCAATTGGTTGGGTTTTTAACCACCAAAACCGTACAAAGTACGACCTTGACGTTTCAGTGCGTAGACGACATCCATGGCGGTGACGGTCTTCCTTTTGGCGTGCTCCGTGTATGTAACGGCGTCCCGGATTACGTTTTCCAGAAACACTTTCAACACGCCGCGAGTTTCTTCATAAATCAGACCGGAGATACGTTTCACTCCACCACGGCGGGCTAAACGACGAATGGCAGGTTTGGTGATACCTTGGATGTTATCACGTAACACTTTGCGATGACGTTTGGCGCCTCCTTTTCCCAGCCCTTTTCCTCCTTTACCGCGTCCAGTCATTTTTGATTTTCGGTGGTATTGGCTGCTGCGTAATAATTTAACTGCTACTGTTGCTGCTTCGGCCGCTGAACGTTGACTGATACTTCGTCGCTCAGTATCGTCTTATTTATACGTTTCACGGAGCGCGTACGGCCAATCGGAACGCTCGACCGGATTTCTCCCACTCTTGAACTAACTGCCACATACCGACCAATGGGAACGACTGATATGGTTCTAATTTTTGTATAAATACCGGTGAGATATTTCTTCGAAATTATCACAGTGCAACGCAACAAATCAGTGAATTAATCCCTTTAGAAATTCAAGCAGTCGAAATGGCGCGTACCAAGCAGACAGCCCGTAAGTCTACCGGCGGAAAAGCGCCCAGGAAACAGTTGGCCACCAAAGCCGCACGTAAGAGCGCACCCGCCACCGGAGGAGTGAAGAAGCCACATCGTTACCGTCCGGGAACCGTCGCACTCCGTGAAATCCGTCGTTACCAGAAGAGTACTGAACTGTTGATCCGCAAATTGCCATTCCAACGTTTGGTGCGTGAAATCGCTCAGGACTTCAAGACCGACCTGCGTTTCCAGAGCTCCGCCGTCATGGCCCTACAGGAAGCCAGCGAGGCCTACTTGGTCGGTCTGTTTGAAGATACCAACTTGTGCGCCATTCACGCCAAGCGTGTCACGATCATGCCGAAAGACATCCAGTTGGCCCGTCGTATCCGTGGAGAACGTGCTTAATATATTTCCAATTAAATAATCAACTTTTAAAAAGGCCCTTTTCAGGGCCATCAAAAATTATTAATTAAATTAAATATATAATATAAGCACTCAGTGGCTGATCATTTTGGAGGATTATTAAGTACCATAATATTTATTCACATTGATTGGGTTAAGATAGTAACCAGTAACCACTGTGTATCATAATCTACAATCTGTTTTACTGACCAAAATCTATCCAGTATACTAGTATCCACGGTATCTCATCTTCGTAGTTCTAAAAAAGTACTAATTAGATAATATAGGCCATCGGCACTTAATAAAGCTAATTTAACGTTGTGATAAAAGTAGAATGTATCCTCCTAACCTATTGTGGCCTGTGGGCATAATTATTCTTTATAATATTAGTCATTACTAAAGACCGGGTATACATGTTCTATAGACGGTCAAAAAAAAAAAAATGCAAAATAAATTTTATATTCATAACAAATGATTAAATTAAATTAATTATTTTTTTAATTTTCATAAACAAAAAGTAAGCCGTATAAATATAGCAAAAATTTAATTTAATCTTTGATCCATTGCAAAAAATATTTTATTAAAATTAAATATTCCATACATTGGTAATATAAATAGGAAAAATATACAAAAAATGAAATATAGCACCTATGTTAATTCAAAAAACAAACGTACTTATAATCTATTTGTTTTTCCTCAACACCTTTTCGGATTGTCAGGTGTATATTTGTACTGTTTTTTGTTAAAATTATGTAGAACATCCACTAATGTCAAAATATGTAGTATACGATTTCAATATTTAATCAATCAAGTAATGATTTGTGGACACTCGCTGACTGCATGATGTTGAAAATAGCATTATGCAGTTTTTGCAAAATTCGGTCTTCAGTCATTACTCACTGATTATTATTTTTATCCCCTAGTTATATAAAATATTTTATATATTCACATACTCAGTTTATTTTATTGGTTGTGTAATACATTCTTATGCATTAATATAAATTAGACTATAAGACATCCAAAATATTTTAACTACATCTAAATATGGCAAAAAGTAAATATTTTATTTTATGATACAGTAAATACTTAAAACCGTGCAACTTATTACGTACGTAGGATTACTTATAACTCCTTACGATTATTAGTTTTTTTTTTGATTTTATTATGTACCTATCTAAAATGAAATACAAATATAATATACAGTTTAATAGCTATCATTATGATCTACAATAATTTTAAGTTACTTAATTATTAATAGAAAACCAAAAATATATGTAAAAGGTTTTAATTACATAGTTAGGTAGGTACTCTGTATTATGTATAAAATGATTGTTAATTAATTATAAATTTATTATTTGAAAATGTCTAGATGTTAATAATGATCTATCAAAACCAATCGACTACTACTAATACCATGGTTAAGTAACTAATACTACAACGACACAATTTAATGATTTAATTTTAAAATTAAATTAAACATTCAGATAGTATTGAGGTTGAGAATGATACTGATGTCAATAAAATTATTGTTGCTTCTAAAGTGAACTTTCAAGTTAGTAAATATTTATAAATGTATAATATTGCATTTCGAGATTTCATAACTATAACACCGGAGGTTTTATTACAATCAAACTTCAAATTTAAATATTAAATGTAACGCGGACGTTGGGGCAGTCGAGTAGCGAAATAATAATAAGAGTACGTACGAGACTTTACGAGTGGCACGATGAACCATTTTATAGATTAGGTTGCATTAGATATTTGATTATTAAGGGGCTTATGGCCATGCATTTACTTACTGAGTGTAAATACCACCTGTAACGATAAAATAAATACATCAAAAGTACGCGTAATTAGACAAAAAAGTGAATTACGGTGAAAGTGCGATACTAATATGGTTCGGTTATGTAAGAAATATACTAAAATAATACGGTTTCTATGACGGTAAGGTGTACTACAAATACGATCGATAACGAAAAATTGGGAAAAACATTCTAAAAATAACTAATTAATAAAAAACCTCCAATCGTCTTGAAAAGGGTGCAGCACGTTTGGGTACATTAACACAAAACACGTTTGGATGCATGTAAGTTCCTACACGAGAGTAGCAGGTACATACGTTAGTTCCTACACGGACATATGTAAGTTCCTACACGGTAAAAACCAGGTACGTATGTTAGT